CTGGGGCTCAGGGACGTAAGTGATGGCTGCGCTTCTCCGTCAGAGTCCACATCTTCATGTCTCACGTGCGCACAGTTATCCTTGTGAAAGACACAGACGATCAGAGAAGATCCTCAGTATGATTGTTATGTTTTTTCCACTGCCCTTTTTTTCCCCCCTCCAGTATTTGTCCGTCATTGTGGGATAGTGAGTGGGAGAGGGGGAGGGTGGATGGATGAGGCAGAACAGACCAAAACTCATATATGGGTAGAGGCCTCCGATTTTTGTCCTCCTTAGTTGTTTCTGGTTTGTCGGGACTCCATGACCAGCTTTGCCAGGAACGGCAATGTGGGGTTTTCAGTTTCCTTCGCTTGCTGTGTCATAATTAAAAGAAGCACAGTATGTGACTGAGCTTTTCCACTGGAGAGAGATTGTATCCCATCAGCCAGCTCCATGAAGGACATTGAGTGTCTGTGGTTCCTTCCACCATGCATTTCCAAAACACTATTTGTGAGCAGGCTGGGTTTTATCAGACTTCTTAGAGCAGCCATAGGTGACCCAGTGCATTTCTCTTGGTTGGTCTGTCTTTTATTGGGGCCTGGAAAGAGTAAATAAGGCTAGGGTAACCTACAGCAGCCTGTAAGTGAACTGAAAAGGGTTTCAGTAGGATTTTCCTCTGAAATTTCTGTTTTTGTATAAGAGAATTTCTAGCTGTCTCTAGTAAAGGAAGGGGCTGTATTGGGTTTGCCAACTGATTACAGTGATTCACTCTTCAGGATTTACAGCCCAAAGTGGAAATCCTTGTCAGCAAAGGCCTTGTTTCAGTAATGAAGTCCTCTGTAGAGTAGGAACAACTCTTCTCCTATGTTTCTGCCATCAGAAATGGGCACTCTTCTTTGGTCTAGGGAGCTGAAGGCTTTTCCAGCCACACAGAGATCTGCCTCCCTGCCTCTGAGCCTGTCCAAGCAATGGAAATCCATGAGCAGAGTAGGAGGACCCGCAACTGTCAGAAATGGAGACCAGTTCTATTAGCTAGACAGTACTCCCAAACAGAAACTAGCAAGGGTGATTTGCAGAGGTTTCAGCAGGAGAGGCTCTGCTCAGATGGTTTAAATAATGTAGTAGGATAAACGAATCAAGCAAATGAGTGATTTCTCTAAGCACATCCCTCTCTCTAGATCCATTTCTAGGTTATGGTTACTTCAATCTTCCTTGTAAGACATAGGAATAGGCACCAAAAGGGGATATAAAAGCTCAGTAGAAATGCAAAGCCAAACACTAACAGTCTGAGCATACTCCTTGTAGCATTTAAAAATGTGTTTAGGAAACCAGTTTGCAACTGCCACAATTAAACCCACCTGAGTGAAAGAGTAAATTCATTTAAAAAGCAAAACAGAATGACACTAGTCCTGGTTCATGTGGGATAACTCTTCTCCCCCCCCCCCCCCCACCTTTGGATCCAAAAGAAAAAAAAGCCCCAAGCCTGTTAAATTAAGTGATTGGATTTTACTCTGTTCTGTTTACAGTGTAGTATTTAAGGTTTTATAAATGTAAATATATTTTGTATATTTTTCTATGAGAAGCACTTCATAGGGAAAAGCACTTATGACAAGGCTATTTTTAAACAGTGGTATTATCCTAATTTAAGATAATCTGTTTTTAATAATTTTTTATTTTCATAGGATGGTTATTGGAAATATCTGGCTGGACATAGTCTGATCCTTCCTCCAGAGAGAGGGATACTTTTATTTTTATTTTACTTTTAATCTTGTTCTGCCTTGTTGACTTAAGTAGCTGTTTCCTGGAAGCTTTGGCTGGACCTTAATTATATTAATTTGTCAAGGGGGAGGGCATGGGGAACAATCACCCAACTCAGGAGGAATTTGACTCAGTGGAACTTTATTTGAAAGTCTGTGTTAACATTTTTGGTACAGTTTTCCTACCGCTGGGCAGAAAGAGGCATGATTCTGCCTTGACATGTGCCACTGTTCTATTTATAGAAAGGTAAAGGAGAGGGGGTAAGAATTGCTATCTTCACTTTTCCATTAGTTTGTTCAGAGCTCAGAATTAGGAATATGGCAGGAAATATGAATTTTTCCACCCTGCTCTTTCCACTTCAATCCTGCAGAGCAGACGTGTCCTCCTCAGTAACTCACTGATTCTGCCAGGATACTTACTGAGAGTGAGTGGTCCCTGCATCTCTGGAGAGATCACTTAAACGTAAGCCCAGGACTGTGATTGGTAGCAGGGAAAGCCAACTTCCCATCACTCAACTATTGTGTTTCTAAAGCAGCTTCACTGGATAAAGAGCCAGAGTGGGTTTTCATTCTTGGAAAATTCTCAACTCTTCAACCAGAGAAACTTGGTCCTGTGGAAATTGAGCAAAGCAATAGAACCCCAGCCCTTCCTTTGTTCACCATCATTGTTAGGAACAGTTGTGGGATTTGTACCCACAAATGCACTTCACAGCCCCGAGTGCCTCTCACTTGGAAACATGAATTTTTCCTTTGAACAGTAAAATTATAATGCACACCCACTCCTCTCCTCTGTCCCTGTGGACAGGCCATCTACAATTTGCTGAATTAGCAAATTGAAAGGCTGCTATGAAACAGCATCAGCAGCTGCCTATGGAAATTGGACAGCATTGACTAATAACTCCTTAGCGCTCACAGCTTAGCACTATGTATCTGTGTCATTCAACCCCCAAGACCTCTTCCTCTGACCTGAGAATGAAATGCAGCACGCAGAAGGGTCAGGAATTGCTGTTTCCTTTTTTATTGCACTGTGTGATTATTATTTTGTAAAACTTTTTTTTAAAGGAAAAATCAAAGTCAAAGCTGCCTGTGTTACTGAAATGATTTGATGCACTGACAGTTTGGGAATGCACACACACTGAGAGGCCAGAAACCATGTCTGGGGAAATCTCAGCTCAGCATCCCTAGACACAGCTCTTCGCAGCAGTGCTGGGGAACAGTTCCAGTGCTGGACACACCAGTGAATTTTACCTTCAGAATGGTCTAGTTCAATCATTTCCCCCCCCTTCTCCCTCCTGCTGATATCCCTTTATCTGGCAGAGAATCAGCCTCTGCAGCTGACAACAATCCCATTCTTTTTTCTTGCCAAAAATCTGTGTAGCTATCAGCTATTTGATCAGCAAAATTGAGTCCTCACCAGAAATTCACACTAAGAGCAAGTTCTGATCAGGACACACTGCTCCCACAAAACCCCTTAGTTAGGGGAAAAAACACAAGAAGAGGGGGAAAAAATAAGTGAAGGAGAAAACAGACGAGAGATACCACTTGAGTCTCTCTGAGAACCAGGCACTAGAAATTTCCTCTACCGTGAGGACTGAGAGCGCAAATGGATCAGGCTAGAATTTGGTGGAAGATCCAGCTCACTGAATGCTTTGCTGCTATACCTGTCGTGGCTGCCTTAACGAGCAGCCACTGTGGCCAGTGAAACTGTCTGTAAACCAGAGAAGCTGAATTGTGCTGACCTACAGGCTGGGCCAGGGGTCCCCTTGGCTCCCCACTTCCATTGTTCTCACCAGTCTGTCTCCAGCACAGAGGTTTTCAGTCACTTACAGTTTTAAATAAATAAAAGGAAGGTGGGGAGAAGCCTTGGCAGCTAGTATTTAAGTTTTCAATGATTCATGTGTAAGACACAGGCCTATAAGCCCTTTAACCCTGTTCTGCCCAGGCTAATAGTGAGCACAATGCAGCTTCCTCATATATGAATGTATATTTTATAAGGACTGACATAGATCATGATATCTGAAAATACTAAAAGTCAAACCTTAAGGCATTTATTTTTATTTGTACAAACCAATTTTTTTAAAGGAAAAGCGGGTCATTGCAAAGGGCTGGGTATAATCTTTTTATTTCATTTTCTTTCATTTCCAAGCAATACCAGGTTCTTCAGCAAGATGGTCTTTGTGCAGAATCATGCCATTCAAACCCATACTACTGGTCCATACTCAACACACTTGCGAGTTTTTTTTTATAACTATAAATATGATATATATATAGGAACTAATATAGTGATGCACCATGTAATGAAGCCTAGTTCAGTATCGGTCCATGGCTTTTAATTCTCTTAACACTATAGATAAGGATTGTGTTACAGTTGCTAACAAAGGCAGGAAAAATAATCAAGCTGTGTACTTCTGGGTTAACAAATGTAAACTGAAGGGGGCTTGCTTGGCTCTAGAACACCTCAGCCTGAAGAGTGTAGCTTCCTGCAGAAATGAAATACTTAGCCCGTCGTTTCCCTGCTTGAGGATTTTTCTGACCTTCAATGTTACCAGTCAGTACTTGTACAACTTGTTTCTTTGTTTTGTTTTTGGATTTTTTTTTTTTTTTTTTTTTTGGTTATGAATGTTGGGGTACCACCTGCATATAGGGAAAAATGTGTTCTGTGCTTTCCTGGTATCTTTTTAACAAGGTACTGTAGCTTTGTCTATCAACCAAGAACTATACTTGTGGTGTTTCTTTTATTAAACTTAACAGTCTCTTTAGTAAATACAGGTAGGTGAATAATTGTTCAAAAAAAAAAAAAGCTCTACAATGGCAAGGTCATGTTCTAGAAATAATACATTTCTCGACAACTTATCATGTGTAACGGATCTTTTTATTTCTTTTTTTCTTGTGTTCTTCCAAGCTTCTGGTTTAAAAAAGAAAAAGAAAAAAAAAAAAGAAAAAAGGAAATGTCTAAAGTACATCAGTGTTAACTCCCTGTCACAGGGATGAAGGAAATACTTTAATAGTTAAAAACAATGCTGAAAGCTCTGCGAAAGACTGAATGTAAAAATAAAAGTGTATATAGTTGTAAAAAACAAAAAGGAGTTTTTAAACATGTTTATTTTCTATGCACTTTTTTTTATTTAAGTGATAGTTTAATTAATAAACATGTCAAGTTTATTGCTGCAGAGGGTGACTCTTGATTTACTTTATTTTTTAAAAAGCTGGAGAGGAGGTGTTCCAGTGGCACGGTCGCTCAGCCTCATCATGTGAGTCACCCTGTCTTCAGAAAAGGCACATCGCTATCATGTGGCTTCGTTATTACTATTTGTGTTGTTGTGCCAGAGATGGGACTGGTGCGCTGCAAAAGAGATGAGTCCCTGTCTCAAACGGGGATGGTTCTTGACAGGTAACCTTGAAACATAAGGGCATGCAGTGATGTCATGAAAGAAAAGTGACCCATGGAAGGGTAAGGAAGAAGGCCTCGTCCCTCCCAAGTCCTTGATCCCGCATCGTCACAGAACAAGTGAAACACCATTTGTAAAAGTCACCCAGGTGTTAAGCAGACCCTGTGTGTGTGTGTGTACCTTGTGACTTGTGTGTGGGATTTTCTGTGGCATTGGGCGTCCATGTTCTAAGCTCTTAGGGAAACAAACATTCACATATATTCAGCATCTCCCTAGCATCTTGGCCTGTGATACAGAATTAGTTCAAAGCGTTATGAAACTCAACCCACTGGAAGAAGAGTTTGCTATCCAAGTGGTCTATATGCTGGTAGAGCCCTTAGGCCTCAGTTGGGGCCGCATTGCAGGGCACTGTACAAACAGCCAGCCAGCCAACAGCCACAGATACACTGAGGGAATATGGATACAACAAACAATCCAACGACTCTGGGGAGGAATTGGCCCTCCTGGGTTAGTTTCATGGATGGTGGATGGCTGGTTTCAGTTGAGGGCAAAGGAAAGAAGGGGAAGAACAACAGGCCCCACTTGTCACCTGCCCAGCAATGACCTCTGCTGTGGTGCCTGGAGAACTATCCAGAGGGGCATCCTGAGACGGACAAGGCAATGGCAGTGGGGATTTTATCAGGGGTTTTCCTCAGGCATGAAGGCAGCACAGAGGTGTCAGAGAGAAACTGCCTTGTGGGCAGTGAAGACTGGGAACACTGGCAGAGCGAACACAGGTTGACATCACCATAGGTAAGTAGGTCACCAAGTGGAGTGGGGCAACATTATGAACTGCCTTGAAGGTAAAGACAAGTAGCTTTTATTTGATACACAGGTGAAGGAGAAGCTGGCAGAGGGACTCAGGGCCTGACGTCAGAACTCCGAGAATAAGATCTTGGCAGAAGCATGGTGAAGACACAAGGGGAGAAAGGGTGCAGGAGTCCAGGCCAGACAAGGGGAGGATTCTGTAGCCAAGACATTCAGGGATCCGGGCTTGGACAACAATTCTGGCTGTGTATACAGGGGGGAAAGGCTGATGCCAGAGGAGACGTGTAAGAAAAATGTCAAGATTTAGCAATGGCCTGATGTGCATCCAGTTTATTTCCATGTCTGTGCAATAGAAACTGGTAGTGCTTTGGGTGGGGCTAGAATCCCTTTCCCTACCCTCTCCCACACACATCCTGTTACTTACCTCAACACCCGCAATGGTTTTAGTGAGTTCCGCTCACATTTGACATTTTGAATGTCTGGACCCTGCAATTCTACTGCTGTCCTTGCCTGCAATTAACAGCCAGCAGGCCCTCTGGAGGCTTTATCTGCCTCTGGCCAGGGACAGAATGCTAAAAGGCCATGTGAACATTAACCTCTCCTGCTGCTCTGCAGTTCGGTGCCCCCATCTCCTCCTCCACTCCTATTGGCTGCTTTTAGGCCAGCCCCCCACTTGTGTCTCCAGACACCATTCCTGGCTTGCTAGAGGTGCCTTTTCCTGCCTCTCTCTGTGTGCTGTCAAACATGGCTACAGCCCAGGACAGGGCGGTTCTTCAAACCATCTTTAACCCCAGTGCTCCTTTTGGGGACATCCCCGCCTCAGATGCGGGAGAGGAGGCAGAGGCAATCCAAGGGGAAGGTGAGGTTTGATTCAGCAGCAGTTGTACCTCTGGGGGCTTAGATTCTTGCTGGTAACTAAATGTCTGTGCAGCGGCTGTGATTTCCCCTTCCCGGTGGTGGACTTTGCCACTGAGGAGGTGTGTGCTGGCACTGGCTAATGATGGGAAGAACTGTCTTCATTGTGAACAATGGCACTGCTGTAATCCGAGAGAAGTCAGTGGAGTTACACCAGGGAAGAACTAGTCGCATGGATGTTGTGGAATGATCCAGTGTTCCCCTGGCAGTGACTGATGGGGGCTTGGAAGCTAGGGCAGAGCTCACTAAGAGCTGGAAGGAAAGCATGCTGATCTCTAGAAAGATATGCCAGTTGGACTAACTGGACCCTGATGGGACTGGGGCCCTCACTAGTTAGCACCTGAAAGCTCTTCTCAGCCCTGGAGGGGAAAATCTCTACAATGCAGAGAAAGTGATGCAAGAGAGCTGCCTGCTTGCTGTCTGTCACTTAGCTGAGCGGGCTCCATGCTTGCCGTGGTATGGCGTCTGCATGGGTAACTCAAGAAAAAAGGCGCAAAACGATTGTCTGCCCTTGCTTTCACGGAGGGAGGGAGGGAACAGGGGCCTGATGATATGTACCCAGAAGCACCCACGACGATGTTTTAGCCCCATCAGGCACTAGGATTTCTACCCAGAAATCAAATGGGCGGTGGAGACTGCGGGACCTGTGGGATAGCCACCCACAGTGCAACGCTCCGGAAGGCAACTCTAGCTTCGGTAGACACTCCGCCGACTACATGCACTTAGAGCATTTGTGTGGGGACACACACAATCAACTGTATAAAAACGCTTTCTCCAAAACCGACTTATATAAATTTGACCTAATTTCGTAGTGTAGACAAGGCCTTAGATGAGAAGAGAACAGCAGGTCCCGGCATCTGTTACTCCTTACCAGATAGTGGTGCCGCTGGGAATTGGGGGAGGGCCCACAGAGAAGGGCCATAATTACAGAAGGTGGAAGTGTGGTAGCAAATACCTGCCTGATCAGCTCAGCCTGCCTTCTACATTCGGCCAGCTACTGAAGCATCTTTTGGCCTGTCAGACTGTCCTGCCATGAGCACCAATGCAGTCGGTTTGAGAGGCATCTCAGGGCCACGTCGCTTTCCCCCAAACTCACAAAATTGTTACAAATAACCAAGGAGTCTGGCCTGGATCAGGGTGCTGACTGGATCCCACTGGACCCACCCCTGGGCCAGGCAGCCCTTTGGAAAGGAATCACACAGGAGACTGGAGAGTTCGTCTTCTAATTCACTGGGGAGCAGCTTGGACACTATGGCATTGGGGCCAGGACCCAGGCACTTTGCAGTGAGGTTCCTGGTCTCTCTTTGGGGCAGCAGGTTTTTGTGAATCTGAATGTGTGGGAATTAAACTGCAAGTTGGATTTAAATGCAGCCTGCTGCCCAGTCTGCATACCTGCCTGAGTAAAGGTGACCAATCGGGATCTGCTGTCACAGCAACCCATGACACGCCTGGGCATTGCTCTCAACCCTTGGTGGATCAGGAAAGCAGAGCCCAAGACTAGTTCCGAGCCCCCATATTAACCCTTGGTCCGGTGGGCTCCTGTCCCATGCCTGGTGGTTTTGAGACTCTCCCCTCACTGTGCCCTGGTCTGGCACAGGGGATCACACACCCCCCCAAGCTGGGTGTCTGCCCAGAGCGCTGCATAAATTAAGTTTTTCTTTTATGCATGTCACAGATGGAGCTTTCACCTCAGAGCTCCTGGAGCAAGTCAAAGAGCTGGAGCTACAGGGAGTTTTGGCAGCTGAATCGGGAAATGTGAACATGGCCCTTGAGAGATTCAGCCAGGCCATTTGGCTCCTTCCGGAGCGAGCCTCGTGCTACAACAACCGTGCCCAGGCCCTTCGTCTCCAAGGGGATGTGGCAGGTAAATGAGGAGGGGGGTCATGCCCATCACCCCTGGGTTAGCAGTTGCCATTGGGGAAGGCTGCAAACAGGTGGTCTGGTTCTAGGAGTGACGGGACCAGGCGTGGGGTCTGATGGGCAGCAGTGCAGTCACAGCACAAGGTACGTGAATTGCACACAATAGAGAAGCAGGTTCTAAGCTCAGCACTGGGAGCCAGGAACTCCTAGGTTCAATCCTTACTTGTGACCCAATTTTTCATGTGATGTCCCTGTGACCCAGGACTTTCTTTTGTGGGTCCTGAAATGTCCCTGTTTTTTCAGTCCTATTGTTTGTTCCAATGTGTAGCAACACTGTGTAGAATTTGCTCTGTATTTACCAGGAACACGCTTTCAGGGTGATAAACGGGGTTTGGGGTGGAATAGGAGGAGTGGAGACACTACTGGAGAGGTGCTGGGGCTCACAGTCGACGTTCATGATTCTTGGTCCGTGTTCCGCAATAGATAAATTCAGAACAAGTTACTATGGAAAAACTCTCCCCTCTGAGAACCTGCCCATGTTGTGGATGGGTCAGAAGCTGGTGCACAGCATAGAAAATAGGCACTTTTGTCTATTGAATGAACATTTAATAACCCTAAAACAAGTCCTCACAAAAGGACCCTATTTTTTTATTTTGAAAATGTTGTTACAGCATCTCAGCTGTGAGACACACTCAGAGGATGGCTTTGGTCACTGCCATGTGCCCCGTCTGTACAAGAGGGATAATACTTAGCTCTTCCAACAGAAGGCAATGGAAAGTACCCAGTGCTGTGCATGCTAATCATGGATCTGAACCCCTAGGAGCCTACAGCTGAGTCCCAGCACATTATACTGACCAAGGCCAGGCAGAGTTCACCCTTCTTCCTTTCTGTCTCCAAACAGGTGCGCTGCAGGACCTGGACACAGCCCTGCGCCTCAGCAGGGGCACAGGCCGTGTGGCATGCCAGTGCTTCGTGCAGCGAGGTCTCATCAATGTGCTGCAGGGCCATGAGGATAATGCCAGGCAGGATTTTGAGCAGGGAGCCAGACTGGGTAGCGCCTTCGCTCGGCACCAGCTGGTCCTGATGAACCCCTATTCAGCGCTCTGCAACCAGATGCTGTTGGAGATGATGAGGAAGCTGCAGAACCCAGACATCCAGGGAAGCAACTAGAGCCCATCTGTCCAGGCAAGGGGTCAGCTGAGATTGTTCCAGGGGAGAGGGTTGCCGCTGAATCATTCTGCTGGGCCCGGCAGACAGGATGCCTTCCACGTGCCCCACATAGAATCCTGAACTCTCCACTGAGGCAAGGGCAGCTGAGATCAGGGGTCTCAACCATTTTCTTTCTGAGCCTCCCCCCCCGCCCCCAACATGCTATAAAAACTCCACGGTCCAGCTGTGCCTCAACAACCTTTTCTGCATATAAAAGCCAGGGCCGGTGTTCGCAGGTAGCAAACAGGGCAATTGCCTGGGGCCCTGTACCACAGGGGGCCCTGCAAAGCTAAGTTGCTCAGGCTTCGGCTTCAGCCCCAGGTGGTGGGGCTCGGGACCCTGGGCTGCAGTCCTGTGTGGCAGGGCTTTGGTTTTTTGCCCTGGGCCCCAGAAATTCTAATGCCAGCCATGCTTGGTCGACCCCCTAAAGCCTGCTTGCAACATCCTGAGCAACGGCCGGATGTTTGTGGGGAAGTTTGTCTTTTGCAGAGCCTGAGGCATCTCAATCCTGGCCACCTCCCCTGGCCTGGCACAAGGCATGATCTGCAGTGTCTGTCACAGGCAGGTTCCCAGATGAGGCCCCCAGGCAGGTGAGCCACTTGGCAGGAACTCGCCAGGAGTGGGCCACTGTGTACAAACCAGCACAAGCCACTTCCTCCCCAGAAGCATTTGTCGTTTCTCGTAAAGCTTTCGAACCTCATGAGTGGATCAGCTGAATTGGAATCGCGCCATGTTCTGGACAAGCCTCCCCTGCGGCTGTTTCTCACACTTGCCTGCTCCAGAGAAGAGCTGACCCTGCTTCAGCTTGGGCATTGGTCTTCCCTATCACAAATAAACTCTCTAGTTTGACTGGTGCTGGGTTCCAGTTGTGTGGGTGTAATTAATGTTCTTTTCACTTTTAGATATAAGTAGTAATAAAAGAGTGCTCTGAAAAAACCCAGCCCCTTCCTATGTCCCTAGCAAATGTAGCCATTGGGTTCTTCAGTTCCCCAGGTCCTTGTTCACATGTCACTCAGCTGGGGCCTTACCTTGCCTATGCTCAGTAACGGTAGCCTACTCGACAGCACACTGCACTGGGTCTTTGGAAACAGGATTCAATTTCCTGCTCTGCCCCGGTCTCACTGTGGGATCACGGGCAAGTCACTTAGTCTTTCTGCCTCGGTTCCTTTGTTGGTGGGGCTTGTCTTTTTTAACTGTTGGCGTTTTGAGGCAGGGACGCTCTCAATGTACATGTTCAATACTTAGCACAATGGGCCCTTGATCTTGACTGGAGCCTCTCTATGCTCCTGTGGTGTGTGTTTTGATTGCTTTCCTAGTGCGGGAAGTGGCTTAGGCACACTCTGTACCTTCATTTGCACTCCCTCTTGGTGCTCAGCATGGTGCTGTTGTGTTTAGTTCTCCAGTACTGACACTATGGGACTGTCTAACCTCAAACATTTCTCATCTGAAATCATTGCAAACATCCCTCTTGGCAGTGGGGTTTTTAACCCTCTTTTCATTTTGTTTCCAGAATGTAACTTCTAGTTCTAAGCTGGGGCAGCCTCGGCTCCAGGTGTGTGGGCTGGGCCTGCTCCATCAGCGCAGCACTGTCCTAGGGTTGCTCAAAGGGCATTTTACAGAGGAACTGTATGCGGTGAAAAGCAGTCGACCCAGTTAATCCGACCTCAGCGTTCACACGAGCCAGCGGCTCCTGGAGAACGGAGTGGGTTCGGATTGGTGCTCAGGCCGAGCCCTTTGGCCCCACCCTGCCAGCCAATGGGGTTTGCAGCCCCGCCCCCCGCGAGGCCGGGACTGCAGCGGGCGGGCGCAGAGCCAGGGCCGCTCCGCTGCGCTCGCGCCGGGCGGCTGCCGCCGGGGCGGGCCGGGCCGGGCCGGGGCGGGCCGCGCGCTCTGCAGCGCCCTGCCGGGATGGGCGGGCCGCTGCCCGCGGGCCTGAGCGCTCGCGGGGCCGGCGGGGCTCGGCGGGCGCAGCTGCTGCTGGAGCCGCCGCAGTGATCCCAGGTAACCGGCCTGCGCCCGCCGCGGCCTTGGGGCTCGCTGGCCGGCGGCGCTGGGGGCCGCCGCCCGGGGGGAGCCTCTGGGGGGCGCGGGGCATCGGCCCAGCCCGCGCGCCACCGCGGGCTCCTCGCGCCGTGTGCCCCGCGGGTGCGCGTGCCCGTGCGCGTGCCCCGTGAAGGCACCATGGGGACGGGTGAGCGCGCGCTGTGCGGGGTTCGGTGTGAACCCCCCGTGCGGGGCCTGGCGGGGGATGTGCTGACAGCCCGGGGGCTGCAGTTTGGGTGGTGACCGCTGAGTGGCGAGCTGGCCCCTGGGGGTCTCCGGGGGTGGTGGGGCCGCTGTGGGCAGGCACACTGAACTGGTCACCGGGCTAACCCCCGGCGCAGTGATCGCCCCTGCTTGGCCGCGCAGGCAACGGACCCGAGTTCAGGGGACCCCTCAGAGCCCACGCTAGGAGCATCCCTGCTCCGCCCTCCCCATGGCTCTCAGGTACTGTCTGACTCTCCTAGTGCTGGGCGCCGGTGAAACTGGGGAGATGGGGCTCACCAGGAACCTGGCCGGCTGCGGTGCCATCCTCTCCCATGCGCTGCTGCTGCTCCACATTGGGGCACTGGTGCAGTCAGGTAAGGCCCTTGCCCTGTGGGGAGCTGGGCAGGCCTGGGCCCTGTGCATGGATAGTCCATGCAGTTCTCGGACTGGACTTGCCCCCTGCCTCCATGCCAGCTTGTGGGGGGCCCCCTGAAACTGAGTGAACAGGCGCCGAACCTAGCCCTCTGCGTTGGCTGTGAGGCAGGAGGCTCCTGGAGGCCATGCCTACCAAGACTCCCTTACCTGGTCTGCTGCAGTGTCCTGTGCCCTGGCTGGCCCGACTTCCAGCTCCCCAGCTGGTGTCTTAGCCAGCTCAGAGCAGCCCCACTTAGATTCAGAGCCTCCAGGGACTTGTTCCAGCCGCCTAGGGCCTGTTTCTATGTTGGTGAAATGGATCCCTGGTGTGTATGGAGTGGGAGCAGGGCATAGGATGAGCTCCTGGCTCAAGTGTGCTGCTTTGTTGGCTTTTCCCTCCTGATTCCCTGGCAGGGCTGGGGGAACCAGATCCCAAGATCAATGGGCAGTCACTGTTGGTGAGCACCATGCAGGAGGATGAGAGCCGGGACTTCACCTGCCAGGTGGACAGCTGGCAGGCCGTGCCCATGCTTACCTGGTACCTGAATGGCAAGAAGCAAGAGACCAATGGTTCCACAGTGTTGGCCACCTTGGCTGAGGCCTTTGAGCAAAGCTCCAGCACTTTCACAGTCACGGCGCAGCGCGCAGACAGGGAACTGAACTGCTCACTGACAGACCCAGCCTCTGGCAAGACCTCCAACGCCTCGGTGCTTCTCAACGTGCAGTGTAAGGGCTGGCCCCTTGGGCTTTGCCAGGGCTCCTGCTCTGTACAGGCCAGGTCCCTCGTCCGGAGAATTCATTAGGGGAGAGACCAAGGGGCACCCCTCCCCACAACACAACCTTAATCCCATTTTGCATCCCCTCTGCTATTCCAGCCGTGCCCCCTCTCTCCCTCTACAGCTCTGATAATACCCCTTGATTCCAAGCCATGGCCCCTGGCTATTCCAGCCTGGCCCCTGCTCTCCTCCCAAGCTCTCAATCCTGCCCCTCAATCCTGACCCCACTATTCCTGGAATTGGTCCTGCTTCGAGCAGGGGGTTGGACTAGATGACCTTCTGGGGTCCCTTCCAACCCTTATATTCTATGATTCTATTCCAGCCCTTCCACTTTTGCCCCCAGCTTTGCTGCTGCTCAGTCCTGGCTCGCACCCCAAGCAGAGGTGGCTGGTCATACAGAGCTCTGAGGTGGACACAGTACCCTGGGCTCCACCAGATATATTTCTCTGGAGATCTGAGGAAGGGTTGGACCCAGCTCCCCTGAACAGAGAGGCTAACAAGACCTCTCCTGCACTTTCTCCAGCCAAGCCCTAGGCAGTTAGACACAATGGAATGGCAGAGGCTTCCTTCCCACCCATGGTTGTGTGTCTGGACCAAGGAAGCAGCCAGAGCAGGGGCTGGACTGGAAGGGGTTAGTTGTGGAGTGCCCTGGATGCCCTGGCCAGTTGCAGGGAGGCTGTCATCATTATTCTCATTAGCAGCTAATTGGGGCCCTCAGAAGCTCTGTGCTGCCAGCACCTCAGAGTTTGAGCCCCGCATCTCATGGTCAGATGTGCAGAGAACACGGGACACTGACCTGAATCCATCACTAATAACAACGAAGCCTCCTCATTAAAGTGCTGCACAAACATGAAATTATGACTTTTCCCTCCCACCGCTGAGACAGGAGGCCAAATTCAACCCTGGCAGAGGAACCCTGCCCCTCAGCTCACAAGCCCCTGCTCCCAGCACACAGCCATCAGCCCTGACCCCCAGATTCCTGCTCTAACCACTAGACCCCGCTCCTTGTTCCCCAGCTCTAACTACTAGACCCCGCTGCCTCTCCAGTGTTCACTAGGTTCAAGACCAGGGGCCAGCTTTGTTTCATACACATTGGTTTGTGTCCCTTCTTGCCCAGTTAAACCGGAGATCATGACGATGAATGCCAGGTACCAGGAGGCCAAAGACCCAGGTCTCTTCATGGTTCTCTTTGTCCTGGTGCGGGCCAATCCCCCAGCCAGCATCACCTGGATAGACCAGGACGGGCATGTGATGGTGAATACATCCGACTTCCTCATCCTGGACACCAAGAGCTACCCCTGGCTGACCAACCACACCGTGCAGGTGCAGCTCAGCAGTGTGGCCAAGAACTTCTCTTTCACCGCAGCCAACAATGTGGGCATCACCAACTCATCCATCCTGCCACCAGGTAGGTGGGACCCCTCTGGGAGTTGGGCACTGGGACTGGAGAGTGTTGCAGAATCAGGGCCCTTCCCCCACATCTCATCTTGGTCTGGGGTGATCCACAAATCCGGCAATGGTGGGAGAGGCTGCAGCCAGTGCAAGCAGGGCTGTGGGGGCAAGTGCCTGAGTGAGGGGATGTCCATGGGGAATCCAGATGTTCTGAGAGCTTGTGGGGATGGACACTTCTTTCCTGTTACTGCCCTGTAGAGGAGCTGATACCTCCTTTGTCTCCCCAATATACACACCCCTGCCCTGGGGCAGGATCAGAGCTGGCGCCTCCTGGAGGGGAAAGGCCCTGTATCCCATTCCCCCCCAGAAAGCATCTGTTTTGTGAGAACAGTTTTACAGAGGAGCCCAGCTGTGCTTCACGCTCCCTGCTTCACTTTGGGGGAACTGGGTAGTGAATGTAGAGACCCATGTTATCCTTCTGAAGCGCAACATCCCAGAGCTGAAAGCAATTATGAGCCAAATCATAATTCTTCCTTGTGGGCTTTTAGGCACATATATAAAACAAATGGAAGAAAGGGGAAGTTGTTAATAATGAATATAAATCAGAAGTTAAGAATTGTAGAAAATTAATAAGGGAAGCAAAAGGACATAAGGAGAAATCTGTGGCCAGCAGAGTTAAAGACAATAGGGACTTTTAAAAATATATTAGGAATAAAAGGAATCCTAACAATTGTACCAGTCCACTGCTAGATGGAAATGGTAAAATTATCAGTAATAATGCAGATAAGGCAGAAGTGTTCAATAAATATTTCTGTTCTATATTTTGGGGAAAAACAGATGATACAGTCTCATCACATAGTGATGATAACACTCTTTCCATTTCGCTACTATCGCTGGAGGATGTTAAACAGAAGCTAGACATTTTTAAATCATCAGGTCCAGATAACTTGCATCCAAAAGTTTTTAAAAAGTTGGCTGAGGAGCTCACCGAACCATTTATGTTAATTTCCAATAAGGGTTGGAGCACTGGGGAAGTTCCAGAAGACTAGGAGAAAGCTCATGTACCGATTTTTAAAAAGATTAAATGGGACAATCCAGGTGATTGTAGGCCTGTCAACCTGACATCGATCCCGGGCAGGACAATGGAGTGGCTGATACAGGACTTGATTAATAAAGAATTAAAGAAGGATGTAATTAATGCAAATCAACATGGATATATGGAAAATAGATCCTGTCAAATAACTTGATATCTTTTTTTTATGCGATTACAAATTTGGTTGATAAATGTAATAGTATGATGAAATAGATTTCTGTAAGGCATTTGACTTGGTACTGCATGACATTTTGATTTAAAGAAGTAGAATAATATAAAATTAACATGGCACACAGTAAATGGATTAAAAACTGGTTAAATGTAAATGTATCCATCTAGGAGCAAAGAGTGCAGGCCATACTTACAGGATGAGGGACTCTAGCCTGGGAAGCAGTGACTCTGAAACACTTGGGAGTCGTGGTGGATAATCAGCTGAACATGAGCTACTACTGTGATGCTGTGGCCAAAAATGCTAATGAGATCTTGGCATGGATAAATAGGGGAATCTTGAGTAGGAGTAGAGATCATTTAACCTCTCTATTTGGCACTGGTGCGACTGCTGCTGGAATCCTGTGTCCCGTTCTAGTGTCTACAATTCAAGGGGAGTGTTGATAAATTGGAGAGGGGTCAGAGAAAAGCCATCAGAATGATTAAAGGATTAGAAAATGTGCTTTATAGTGATAGACTCAAGGAACACAATTTATTTAGCTTAACAAAGAGATGGCGACTCGATTACAGTCTATGAATATGTACATGGGGAGCAGAGACGGGTAGAACAAGATCCAAGGGCTGGAAATTGAAGCTAGACAAATTCAGACTGGAAAAAATATGTAAATTTTTAACAATGAGAGTAATTAAGCACTGGAACAATTTAGCAGGGGTCATGGCGGATTCTCCATCACTGCTCTCGGAATTTTGGGGCAAGTTCCCTGGCCTGTGTTATAAGTTCAGACTAGATGATCACAGTGGGCCCTCCTGGCCTTGGAATCTATGAACCTGTGATGGGGGAGCCATAGATGCCAGACAGCCTCTGGTGCTGTAGGGGAATGGCCAATGAGCACAGCCTGTAGGGTGGTGTAGGCCTGTGCGTGCTGCGTCTAGAGGTCTCTAATGGGGGTGGCTGGCTCTGGTGCAGGTCTCCTGGATACCCGTGTGGAGCTGCCCCTACTGGCCATCATTGTTGGAGGAGCCTTGGCACTGGGGACTCTCCTCTGTCTCAACACCCTCATCATCTGTGTCATCTGCAGGAAGGGGAAGAAGGCGTCAGGTGAGAGGCATGTGTCCTTGCACTGCTGGTGCCCTGGACACCAGGACTTTTCTTTGGGCCTGGGAGCGCTCCCTCCCACAACCCCTTGGGTGACGGGCCCCGGTGCCCCTGCTGTGCCCAGCTGTGTGTAAAGGCCAGGATGCCAACTTTGCCCCTAACACGCTCTCTTCTTCGCTAGGGCTCTCTGGACCTTTGCCGCTGCCTCCAAGGTAACCCACCCCTGCCCCTCGCTGCAGGGTGTCTGTTCTGATAGGACTTGGTGGAGGGGTAAAAGTGCCGCCTTATCCGCCCTCCCTCACCGAACAGCCTGAAGCCTGCACCTCCCCTCCCCCCATGCACCAGTGCCTGCCTCTTTAACCCCTTCACTGCTTGGGCATGTGCAGTTTTTGGGGAGGGTCTGGGGCCGCTAGGAGCACATGGGGATGGCTGAGCTCCATGTGGTGGGATACCCTGGGGCTGGGATAAGTTTGACGTTGTTGCAAGGTGCCAGGTTCACAGTACTGGAGATTGGAGTCCTCTATCCCCAGAGCAGGGGCAGCCTGGGCACCCAAGCCCTGCCCTGCCCTGCCCGGAGAGACCCTGTGTAGGGGCAAGAGGAGAGTCCAGAGTGTAGGGCCAGCTGGGGCTGACTGTAATTTGGGCCCTTGGGAGCTAGACTGACTCCTGCCAACTTACTTCAGAGAGGGGCCCCAGCTGCTGCGTGGGGAGAGTGTCCAGTCCCTACCAGGCTGGGCAGGGCTTCCTATCCAGACCTCCCCCCTCGATCAGTGCTGGTTCCATGGGACACAGATGTAGCAGCAGGGGCTGAGGGCCAACCCAGCCCGGAACGAGCCAAATCCGCTGACACCTAGGCATGAGCTGGGGGCCAGGCCTCTGGGCTGGGGGGGGGGCCTGTGCTGCAGTATCTGCTGTGCCACAGGAGGGGCTCTTGCAGCCATTCAGTCTTTGTTCTTGCTGCAGCGATTCCAACAACCTGAAGTTGAACAGCGTGCGACTGCCCCGAGAGAACATGTCCCTCCCGTCCAACCTGCAGCTCAATGACCTCACGCAGGAGGCCAAAGGTGCGTTCCTTACCAGAGCCAGGCAGTTTAGAGGGATGTCCCTTCTGAGCTGGGCCCAGCTGCCCATAGCATATAGGGTGAGATTTCCCATTGACCCAGTGTGAGCCTTTCCCCAGGACTCCTCTCCTGCCTCTGTCTGGGGCAGTGGCTTCTCCTTTGATTGTAGCTCTGAGCACTGGGCTGGGTCCCTGCTGCATTTGGAGGGGGGTTGGGACTGGGCCAGTATCCCAAGGTAGGGGAGTTCCAGCTCTGATGGGGGAAGTATAGATATGTGACACAATGTGTGTGATTCCTCCTCACTCCAAACACGTCCTTCCCCTGACAGCCAGCCATGGAGATGCGGGACTCCAGACCAAGCGGAAGGACGATGCCCTATCGGAGCCAGAGAACAGCCTGGGCCTTGGTAATAGAGGTAGCAAGTCTGGGTGGCCCTGTAGGGGCAGGGAGTGGATCTGGGAGAGGTGGTTCCATCCTGTGATAGACTAGTGCAAATGGCTCACTACTGGGTGCAGTGTTGGCAGCAGCTCTGCACTGGAAGAGTGGGGAGATCACGTATAAAGTGGGAGGGCAGCTGCTGCGTGGGGATGACAGTTTGGGGGCTCAGAAGGGCCATACTGCCGGCTCTAAACCATGGGAACCTCTTGCTTTGGGTCAGTGCTGATATGGCCCTACAGGCAAGTATTAGATAAACAGCAACGTACGCCTACCTCTTTGAGCAGGATCCCTCACTGAACCTAATTGCCCACGCTGTGGTTCAACTTTCTTTAAAACTTTGTAGCAAACATAAGGAGGTCAACAAGCGTGTGGGCAAGGGGGTTATAGTGAACTTAGATTTTCAGAAAGCCTTTGACAAGGTCCCTCACCAAAGACTCTTAAGCAAAGTAAGTTGTCCTGGGATAAGAAAGATCCTCTCATGGATCGGTAACTGGTTAAAAGATAGGAAACAAAGGGTAGGAATAAATGGTCAGTTTTCAGAATGGAGAGAGGTAAATAGTGGTGTCCCCCAGGGGTCTGCTCTGGGACCAGTACTATTCAACATATTCATAAATGAGCTGGAAAAAGGGGTAAACAGTGAGGTGGCAAAATTTGTAGATGATACAAAACTGCTCGAGATAGTTAAGTCCAAAGCACACTGTGAAGAGCTACAAAACATGATCTCACAAAACTGGGTGACTGGGCAACAAAATGGCAATGAAATTCAGTATTGATAAATGCAAAGTAATGTATATTGGAAAACATCCCAACTATATATATAAAATGATGGGGTCTCAATTGGCTGTTACCACTCAACAAAGAGATCTTGGAGTCATTGTGGATAGTTCTCTGAAAACATCCACTCAATGTGCAGCGGCAGTCAAAAAAGTGAACAGAAAGTTGGGAATCATGGATAGATACGATATTTTCTGTCTTATTATTGCCTCTATATAAGTCCATGGTACGCCTACATCTTTAATACTGCGTGCAGATGTCGTCGCCCCATCTCAAAAAAGATATATGGGAATTGGAAAAAAGTTCAGAAAAGGGCAACAAAAATGATTATGGGTATGGAACAGCTTCTATATGAAGAGAGATTAATAAGATTGGGACTTTTCAGCTTGGAAAAGAGACGACTATCATATCCCACCCCCTTAGAGGTCTATCAAATCATGACTGGTGTGGAGAAAGTAAATAAAGTGTTATTTACTCCTTCTCATAATGAGTGGGGCATAATGAGTGGGGTCCTGCAGGGATCGGTTCTGGGTCCGGTTCTGTTCAATATTTTCATCAGTGATTTAGATAATGGCATAGATCGCAAACTTTATAAGTGTGCGGATGATACCAAGCTGGGAGGGGTTGCAAGTGCTTTGGAGGATAGGATTAAAATTAAAAATGATCTGGACAAACCTGAAAAACGGTCTGAAGTAGATAGGATGAAATTCAATAAGGACAAATGCAAAGTACTCCACTTAGGAAGGAACAATCAGTTGCACACATAGAAAATGACTACCTAGGAAGGAGTATGGCGGAAAGGGATCTCGGGATCTTAGTGGATCACAAGCTAAATATGAGTCAACAGTGTAACACTGTTGCAAAAAAAAGTGAACATCATTCTGGGATGTATTAGCAGGAGTGTTGTAAGTAAGACAGGAGAAGTAATTCTTCCGCTCTACTCCATGCTGATTAGATCTCAGCTGGGGTATTGTGGCCAGTTCTGGGCACCACATTTGAGGAAAGATGTGGACAAATTGGAGAAAATCCAGAGAAGAGCAACAAAAATGATTAACGGTCTTGAAAACATGACCTATGAGGGAAGATTGAAAAAATTGGGTTTGTTTAGTTTGGAAAAGAGGAGACTGAGAGGGGACATAACAGTTTTCAGGTACATAAAAGGTTGTTACAAGGAGGAGGGAGAAGAATTATTCTTCTTAACCTCTGAGGATAGGACAAGAAGCAATGGTCTTAAATTGCAGCCAGGGATGTTTAGGTTGGACATTCCTAACTTCCTAACTGTCAGAGTGGTTAAGCACTGGAATAAATTGCCTAGGAAGGTTGTGGAATCTCCATCATTGGAGATTTTTAAGAGCAGGTTAGACGAACACCTGTCAGGAATGGTCTAGATAATACTTAGTCCTGCCTTGAGTGCAGGAGACTGGACTAGATGACCTCTCGAGTTCCCTTCTAGTTCTGTGATTCTATTACGCAAGAACTAGGGGTCACCAAATGAAATTAATAGCAGGTTTAAAACAAACAAAAGGAAGTATTTCTTCACACAAAGCAGTCAACCTGTGGAACTCTGCCAGAGGATGTTGTGAAGGCCAAGACTACCAGGGTTCAAAAAAGAACTAGATAAGTTCACTGAGGATAGGTGGCTATTAGCCAGGTTGGGCAGGGATGGTGTCTCTAGCCTCTGGTTGTCAGAAGCTGGGAATGGGTCACTTGATGATTCCCTGTTCTGTTCATTCCCTCTGGGGCACCTGGCATTGACCACTGTCTGCAGACAGGATACTGGGCTAGAAGGACCCCTGTTCTGCCTTCTCCACCTAGGATGCCCTGCCCCTTCCTGCTCTCCCACCTGCCAGTGATCAGCAGGTGCTGGGGGGGGGAGGGGGGAGCTGATCTGGGGCTGCAGGTGTGTGCTGAGCACCCACTATTTTTTTTCTGGGGGTCTCCAGCCTCAGAACATGCACAGTGTTGGTGCTGTGTGGCTGTTCTGATGCTCTTAATATTAACTTTACATGTTTAGACCTTAGCAGAGGTTGTCATTATTTCAAACCTATTTAACTTTAAATGGGCTGAAAGTGGAGGGACTGACAGGCAACTGGCATGGATATGCTTTGAAATGGCCTGAGTGTTGGGGCTTTAGCAAGCCTGGGAACAGTGTAGCACCTGCCCCCATCAGCTTAATACAGCTGCATTCCCTGACCCACAACCTGGGCTGACTGTGCAGTAGGGCCCTTGTAATGGGATTTCTTTTGTCCTCCAGGTTTCGTCCAGTTCCCGATGGTTGGGCACATTTACAAAGTGTCCAGCATGAGCAGTGATGAGATATGGCTGTGACTGCTGCGGGGTCCAGGGTATCCCTCAGTCTCCTGGGATGAGTCCACTGATCCATCAGCACTGCAGACCCATCCAGGAGCTGCCATTCTCCCCAGAGGCTCCCCCAGGATCCCAGACAACAGAGCCAGCTCAGAACAAGTTCTCTGTGTAACCACCACCAGAGCTCCAGGTGAGAAAAGTGCAACGTCACTAACTTCTTGTGACTGCAGGTCTTCCACACCATCCTGCCCCAAGGATCTCTGGGTTCTTCAGCTCTCGCACTTGAATAGGTTAGCTAGTCTCACCTAAAACATCATGGAGTCTGATTTTTAAGAACTCTCCCGTGTGCGGGGAGACAGGTGGAGCACCAAGAATAGGAATGGCCTGTGCTCCTGCCCAGCAGCAAGAGGAATTCATGCATGCAACAGCCATGGTCATTTCATTTCCACTCAGCCCTGGGAGCACCCAGCTATGTCCATCTCTGAATGGATCAGGGCTACGTTCTGGAGCTCCTGTGAGGAGTCTGAAACTGGTGGGAGTGGAAGAGGGGGAGGTAATATCAGCATCTTAGGGAAGTAAATGAGTAGAGGGGGATGGGCAGTAAACCTGCCTCACTCAAACTCCAATCTCAGTCAGTCAGACATTCCCTCTCAGGCCTGGCCAAGTATCTCAGTCCAGTGACTTCTAAAGTGGCTCCTGATGTTGGTGTCCAGTCTGACTCCTGGGGCTGGTGCCTGCTGCTCGGAGGGGAGAGAGAGTAGGAAACCCAGAAGATCGGGATCTAGGGGTTCCAAGACTACTTTAGAAAACGTGGCCTGTCCCCTGTGTATGTTGAGTATCATACAGTGGGAGATGGAACAGACTTACCTCCCCATGGGGCTGGGAGGGGAGAAGCACTCCAGGAACGGTATAGTGCTAAAACCTGAAATAGCAAGCAGTGAGGCTGTTATTTGTCAGCTGCTCTAGTTCTGTGTACTCACTCTGCTAGGGAAAAGTAAACCTCACCAGTTTGGGACGAAACAGCAAAAAGAGTGTGAGTACCCCCGGTGCTTCTCAGCCTCCAGTTAACTCCAGCCCTGTATTGGGAGAGCAGTGATGGTCTGCTTCTGGGTATCCTATAATCAACCTCTTTGTGAGAAAGAACATGGGGTAGTTTCTGCTTGGAGCCCACAGCTGTCTCCTGGAGAAGAACTAGAGTAATAAAAAGGGAAGTTCTTAATCTTTGAAAAGAACATTTATGAGAGAGGTGTCCCTGCTCTGCCCTCATTTACACTTATGCAATTCCCCTGTGGACACTGGACAGGTATGGGTGTGCCTGAGGGTAGTTATCACTCTAATTCTTCACCCCTCTGAAGCTAGACACTGCAGCACAGAGGACACTTCTATGTGAAAAACCACTGTGGAACCCTAACCCTCCATTGCAATAACTGGTGTGTAATTCCTACAGTCCAGAGTTGCTGCAGCACCTGGTCACTAGGATGGCGCTGAGGTTTTTAGCCTTTGCTTTGTTAGTGTCTTGCTATGGCGACCGTCTCTCTCAGTGAACGTGCATCTGGAAAGGGCAACTCTTTCCTGGGAGAATCCTATTTGTGACCCTTCTCTCATGCCAAGAAGTCGGCTTGGCCTGGGTGCCAGTGAATAAGTACAAATAGAGGTGCTGGTGGAAATAAATACACATGGCCATACAGGCTGACCAGCCTCTGAGTAAAACATTAAGCTATGCATCAAATTATCTAGCAGCTGTTAGCTCAGTTACTTGTTTTAAAATGCTGCATTGTTAGCTGAGGCATGTTTTTATGTAACTTAGGCACTTTAAGAATAAAATGCTATAATCAAAGTGTAATACAGAGCTGCTTCTGAATTGACTGATGCTCTGCCTCTGGCAGGAGTTGATGGGATGGAGGAACCTACCTTGGCTTAGCTGCTTTAATGGCTGACTCCCCTGAGGGAGCCTTAAGTGGTCTTCGCCCCAAGGATCTCTTTCAGAGCACTGACCCAACAGTGTCTGGAAAATTCTTCCAACAGCAATAAACCAAATAATTGTCTGTAGCAGTGACTGGTTGTTTCTGGTGATCCGTCCTCTTCTCCCAAAATGCAGGACATGGCTCAGAGGTAGTGCCCTCATCTCTACCCAGAGGCTGATAAAGGGGACATTTCATGTGTTAACTGATGCTACCTACAGGAAACAAGGGGGAAACAGACTCCACTCTGCCTTAATATGAAGGTAGTACCACCCTCTGCCTCCTGTCCATCCCCTTAATTTTCTCCCTTGAGTGGCTACTACTGGGCTCCTGCTACAGAGCAGAGGTCCATCCACAACACCACGTTCCCCCCTTCAATTGCTTCCAGTGACAGCTCTTCCCCCTTGCAGCACAGGTTTACACAAGCACATGAAGCGTGGTGAACAGATCACTATTAGAAATGCCTGAGCCCACCTCCAGGTGAATGACATGTTTGTGGCCCTTAGTGCTGTTCATCTCTCCATTTAGTGGCTGAATCTTATACTCATCTCATAATGGAGACTGCTGCAGAGAAGCAATTCAAAGCCCATTCCTGCAGTGAAGTCCTGGTTCCCCAGCAATGCAGGCTGGGTCTCTGGGCTAAATTCTTTTAAATATTTGTGGGGGGGAGAGAGAGTTAAGTTCCCAATCATTAGAACCAACTCTGAAGCTCAGCAGGCTGCAGAGCCACAAGGTTCAGAGTCTAGGGAATGGCTACAAAAGGAGTCCAAACATCTGCATGGGCAGAGGGAGGGTTATGTCCTTAAGGAGATGCTCTGCCCAAGCTGATTTCAAGTATCAAAGACACCGTTACCCTTGCTGAGGTGCTCCCACTCACAAGCACTTGTTTAATGCTGAATCCTCTGGGAATGAGCCAAAGGAAAAGGGTCATGCAGCATTTACAATTAAACACCATGAGCTAAATTCTGACCTCTGCTAATTCATCAGAGTCGTACACTGTCCATCTGCCAGTACACACAGAAAGACTGAGGTTTCAGTCATGCTTTGCCTTGCTCTGCTGATTGGCTTAGGCCAAGGCTCTGCTCCTAGGTGCAGGTCCCAGCTCATGAAGAAAGGGTCTTTTTCTCAGCTGAAGCTTAACACTTCTGTCTCTCCTGCTTGTGAGGGTGGATTCGATGGAGGACTCCCTACCTTTCTCCCTTCAGCCAGGGCTTTGAAATGCTGTGGGGGAAAGGAGACTGCGTTAGTGTAGTTACTTGCTCTCGTCACTTGACGACACACATAATCAGCTGTTTAGAGATAAAATATTTAGACCACCAACTCCCAAAAAACCATCAAATTCCACTACGACAATATTGTAAGTGTGAGGCATTCTTCCAACTCACCCCCACAAAAAGGTACACCTCTAAGCAGAAATTGATGCAATTTGAAAAGCTACTCAACTACATTTATGAAACATAATGGCTTCCTTTCCACTCTACACAAAATAATCTGTTATTTAGAGGAAGAAACTACATTGATAAAAAGAGAACGTTGATGGAGGAGGAAAGGGGAAACACGGGGCATACCCCACACCTCCATAAATACATTAATAAAAAATGAAAAGTACATTCACATTCATCAGTGGAACCTAAGTCCCCTTAGAAATAAGTGAATTTATTGTACAGGGATGGGCAAATATTGGAGAGAACGTAAGGAGGATTTCTCCATATATAGCATATTTGTCCAAAAAATAAAGACATTTTGGAAAATCCTTGGAGACTCGAGAAGGGAAATAACAGGGCGTCAGTATTTTATTGAATTGTCCTGCAAACTGCTTTTTATAAGAGCCCAAAAGAATCGATCATTCATTCTCCAGCTGCTAGTAGAAGTACCACAGCATTTGGTGGAAGAGTAGCGACTCTAAAACCAGTGACTGAGATCAAGAGGTGTGGGAAATTCTGGTACTAGAAAAAGTAACTCAAGTCAGTGTTCTACATCAGAGATAGAATAGCTATGTATTGACAAAGGGGGAAGTTGGTTGGAGTTTGCTGGAAGAGGGTCACTATATGCAAGTGTTGTATGAAGGAATGAATCCTTGTGAGTCATGGGCATGGGGTGTGTGCAAGGTCAAAAATGCATTACAGCTAAGATTATTAGGAAATAACGGTAACACTTCAGAAAGTGATGTTCTTTGGCTAGGACAGGCACTGTTGTCCTGGGCTCTTCAGCAGTGCAGGGGAGCTATTCTGAATTTCAGGACAAGTGACTTAACACTGCCTCTCTTTCTCCCTGCGTGCCCCCGCCCCTTGAGCATTCTAACAGTGATAGCCTGGAAGGTGGCGGACAGGGCTGGTGTCACCTACCTGTGAGTTCTTGAACTCTGAATACAGCGAGAAGAGGACATGCAGGGACTGGACCCGACTCTTATAGACAGGAATGTCCAGAATAGCTAGGACAAAACAACATAAGGATACTGAGCACAACCTTGCTGCCTGGATATTCGCCCCCTCCGAGTAGCAGTATCCTCTGAGCAGCCCCAGTGTTTGGGGCTTTACACATTTAGTTCTTTCTCCCAACTGCAGTCACCAGGAGATGCATCAGCTTAGGTCAGGGCTGAACTTAACTGCAGGTGTCTTACATTTCCTAACTGTCGTTCCATCTCTAGTGCTACTAGGCTACAGTGCAGTCAGGAGGTTAGCAGTGAATGGTGAATAGGACAAAGCCTGAACCGAATATCCAGAGGGAACAGACATATTTAGAAATATGGGACCCATCTGTTTCTTTGCACAAGGACATGATACTGGGAGCACAACACCCATCTCCAGGAAAAACAATTTTTGGAATGAAAGCTCTGGGTCAGGGTTATTCACCTTGATGCAGTGTGGAACTGCTAGAGGTTCTGAAGGGACCTCCTATCAGCCCGCCCACCGGGGGCAGGCTCTCTCCCACACCTGGGGCATGATGACATAAAAGACTAAGCTTGAATGGGAGGGGAATGCAACTAATTCACCTGCAATACCTCCTCCAAACAGCCTGAGAGCACTGCTGTCGGGAGGAAGCGCTGCCTGCTCAGACACCCCTTTAGGCACATAACACTTTAGTTTGTGCATGGTGGTGCTTGGAGGATGGCGAGGAGCTGGCACTCCGCTGCCTCTGAGAAGAAGATGAGAGTGACACATACGGGTCCTTTGCTTACCACATATCATGTCAATATACTCAGCCAGGCCACAGTTGATGTCCGCAGTTGGAAGGCTTACCTAGGCAGGACATGGTAAGACATGGAAAGAGTGACTCATGATCCAGCTCTTGTTCAGTTCCCATACAGCAAGAATACGTACTAGTGTTACCCCAGCACAGAGCAGGCACAGCCTGCTTTATATGGAGGGAAGCCTCTGGGGCCCATTCTTCGCTTGGTGTCTTTACCAACATGTGGATGCCCGTTCACTAGGAATTGAACTGAAACTCACTCATTTCACACAGGCCACTGAACAGGCATCATAGGGTGGCAGCTCTCAAGCACCACTGACTGACCTGGCTGGCTTGAGTTGATGAGCTAGAACATACCAAATTAGCCTGGTCATTGGTTGCAAGGTGGTTTTCCATTATATTAATACAAGAAACCCAAACAACTCTGAGCCAGCCTGCGTTAATGAGGGATAACACAGAGTAGGCAAACAGGCCAAAGTGAAACAAAAGCCCAGATTATGCCTGTAATACACAGCTGGGGTAGCTGTTAGACAGGCTGACAACATACCTTTCCCAAGAGCTCCTCAAATTCTGGGGACCATTCTTGCATCAGAGTCTCGATATCAGGCATTGGCCTGCAAGGGGAGAAAAACAACCCTGCACGTAAACACACAGTATGCCAGGATTAATTTTGCTGGATGTGGGGCTTCCTGACAGTGCACTGACAACAGACTGGTGTGAATGGCGAGAGTGTGACAGCAACAGCACTCTTGTCCTCACAGAGAAAGAAAACAGACACACATTCGCGCCTATAAGCACACACAAGTGTGGTACTGATTAAGTAGCTTTCACAGTAGTCAAAACAAGGTGCCAACTCCATATTGCAAGAGACAAGAGCAAGTCATCCACAGATTTCACTACACCTGCTATAGAATGAGAGTTACCGTACTACACCTCTAGAGGTCTGGGATCAAGTCTGATTTGGATCACATGGGAAAATGAGTTTGATGGTCTCAGATTAATCCACACATCTGGACATCACAATCTATATACGCTACAAATCTCTTCACACGAGAGGCTTATGGGACAGCAGTGGGGCTTGCTGGCTGGGACTGAGGAGTTTTGGCAGAGGTGTGTGGTGAGCTCAGGCCTGGAAAAGCAGGGAGTATGCAAGTCAGGATTGGGGATACTGGCAAAGCAGGGTGAGAGCTTTTCTAATAAATAATAATACCTTCCTCAAAGCACTTTGCAAAGGTGCTCAGGATTTAGAGGGGGACCAAACTCACTTGCAAAGTTAAAGACACAAACACAAACAGCTGTATGTTTCAAAATCAAGGGAGAGTTTTGCTGAGGAGTTATGAATCCATAGGAATTTCAGTTAAGAGTGGATGAGCCAAGTAAAGGTAACATGGAGAGAATGCACACATTCATTCTTAACTCTTGCCTGTGTCAGAGATTTTGACTTGTACACACAATCCATAGCTGTAACCATTTACCAAGTATCTGATGAGAGATCAATTCCTTCTTCACAGTCATGGCAAGAATAATTCTGATGAGGTGATGTTTTTATCTTCTCTAAATAAATCATTAGTCTAACTCTATATCTGCATTTCTAAAACCCCTTTCACTGCAGTGCAACATACTGTAGGTCAACAAAGTTCCTCCTCTCTCCTGACTCTGCATTTTGAAAAGAGTTAACTATAGTTCTTTGCTG